CAGTATGTGAAAATCTGCTTTTTCACAAACTGTAGAAATAGTGTCTGTTCTGTGGCTTGACCTACACAAAAAACTAACAGACCCTCTACCCAAACAAGAATTAGTTCTGCTACCTGTATCTGCCACTCAGGGTCATGCCACCAGACTTCTCAAAGCCTAAATATCTCAGAAGTCTCTTACTTAATTTGTATTTGGAAAATCCAAATATATTTGATGTTTTCATTTCTATCAGCCCTGTTTAAATTAGGTCAACACTTGTTGATTTCCTGTTACAGCATTTTTATTAAGCATGTGAAAGCTAGAATTATACAATCTAAATTTAATTGCTGGAATTTTGTTGTCTATTAACCATGAGGTCCCAAGCAAGTTATTTAGCCACATGGAGGCTCAGTATCTTAGTAAAATGGAAATAACATTTTATTCTCTTTAACTCAGAGACTTGCTGAGATGCTTAAATGAGACGATGGTAAAGATCTTAAGTCCTCAATAAATTGTTGCTGATCTTATTATCTTCATGTACACTCGGGGAAACTTCATTAAAGTGAATAGGGAGGCTGGAAGGGGGAGCTATACAAGAATTACAATTACAGGAAGAATTGTAACATAGGCTCCAACAGAAGACTCATCAACAAGAAAGAATGATCAATTCCAGGCCCCCAACAAGGAAAGACCTACATTGAATCTTCAAGAAATCCACTACCCTTGCAACTTACCTATGAGAAACTGGCATCACCCTGAACTCTTGCCTTTCTCCAATGGACTTGCTTTCAAAACAACCCTTCCCATCTTCCTCCTTCTCCTCCATAAAATAATGTTCCTCTCCTTTGTTTGTTGGATTGGCCTATGGTTTTTCCATAGTTTGCATGTCCCAAATTGCTATTCCTGAATAAATCCATTTTCTCCTGGTAAAATAACGGACAGCTTTATGTTTAAGGTTAATACTATAGTTGCTAGAAACTGGAGGTTATGGGCCCAAGGAAAATCAGTTCTCCCCTTCGATGAGTTCACTGCTTCATGGGGAGAGGTGAGTGACAAATGGGTGAGCAAATGGGACAGAGCCAATGCCCATAGTAAGTGCCACACTAGCAGTACCAGAATAGACTGGCAGACAACAAAGAAGTGTCCACCAAGAAGACAACAAGGCTGTAAAGCAACCAAACATGTTTATTTGGGGTCCTAAGAATTGCAGTCCAAGAGATACAGAAGACACAGAATCCACAGAATTCAAACATTTGCCCTGAAATGTGAAAGTGGTGTGCAGGTTTGTAAAGGCAAAACCCACAAGGCTACACAAGTTGTTTTGAAAGAATTATGCTTGGCGCTGGCAGAGTTTGAAGTGACTTTCTGTACATGGCTGGATATTTGGCTAACAGGTGTTACACTATCTCTATTTCTGTCCAAAGTAGGAGGATGTGTTCCAGGAGGTGGTAGATCTGCAACTGACAAAAGTCAAAAGTTCTAAGAATTACAACAGGGGATGTGCCTAGGTCCTAGTTCCTTGAGATCCTTCTGATTCTATTTTGAGTGACCCTTTTAGCAATGCTTCTTCATTTTGGAAGCTTCTTTCACAGAAGGAAGTTTTTAATTTTCACTGGGAATATCAGGAAAGGATTTGCACAGAGACATCGCTCAGGCTTTGAAGGATGAGGTGAGTAGTATTTTGAGGGAAGGAAATGGCAGGGGAGGGAAGAAGATACAGGGCCATTCTAAGAGAAGGCATCTATGTACAAAAAGATAGTGAGTTTGCAAAGTACTGTCCCTGAACATAGCAGAGACCACTCATAATAAATAGGCAGGGGACAAGTGAAACCATGATGAGGGGCCCATTGTAGCATCAAAGCAGCATATTAACTTGTGATAATCATTTGGTGGTTTTCCTGTTTCAAAAAGCCTCTCAATATTTGTGTAAAGCCAAGTTTGTCGTTTGAAAACAATGTTTTGGGGGCTGAATGGCACTGTGTCACCCCAAGAAGAGGAATAATAATTGAATCTAATTGTCATCTGTGCTTATTTTAAAATAACCTGTTCTAACACCCCTTAACAGCAAAGGAACTTTCAGAGGAGTCAGTTGACCAGATGCAACTTTCTCCCTGATATGTTAGTTTCAACCTGAGTTCATTAAATTCTTTGGGTTTGTTTTTTTTTTTTTCTGTAGCATGCTATGCTCATTCATCAGCCTGAGTCATTTTATCTGATTGGGTCCAATCTCCCCCTCCTTGGCATGCCTGCTTTGCTGCTGAATAAATCATCCTGGGATATGTCCAGGAGGAAGATTTTCATAGGAAAGTTCCATCTGCATTCAACCCCTCATTTATTCAGGCTGAGTTCTTAGGCTCCCAAGGAGAAAGATTGAGAAAATAAAGAGGTATCTTCCACCCCCAAGTTTACTAATATGGTCATTAGCACAGATGACTTGGGGCAGTGCCTGCAGAGAGAGGACACAGTTGGGATTACATCCTGGCACAGGGTCTGCAGGAACCCGCCTCCGTCCCCCACCAGCCTTCTGCCCTCTTTGGGCTCCCTCCTCAAGTCAAGACACTTATTACCCGCCAGAGTTTCAAGAGAGCGAGCGAGGCTGATGAGTCCAAGCAATTTAGAAAGGGAGAAGCAAGCAGTGTTTCTTTTCTGGGATGATTTCATTAATGTCTAGATAACTGCAAAACTGAGTTTTGGGGTGCGCTTTGTCCTTAGTCCCCAGGCCCTTGGGAGTGGGACAGCTACCCCAGGAGATCTTTATAGTTAAATTAATTCATCCACAAACCGGTTTAAAAATAGAACCAACCTTCTTTCTATTTAGAATTGAGCATTTAGTTTTGTTCTCTTGAGAGATGGTGGACTACAACTCTAAAGATCTGGGATTAAAGGAGTTTTTCAGGGTGTATATTACATCCCAGAAATCTACTGTTAAGGGATAGAGGAAAATGTTAGTCGTTTTCTCTCTTGGGATTCTCCTTACAAGGCAGTGGACCAGTTCTGGATTTAAACCGAAACCCATGTGTGTGGATAAGAAAGAATAAAAAGGAAGTAATTAAATCCGTGTTTCTGGAACACAGTGGACACAAATAACTCTGGAGATGGAGTATGTGGTTGGGGAAGAGGGCCATCCAAAGCTATTCCCCACTCAGGGCAGGCAGAGAGAGGGGAGTTTCTCCTCGGGAGAGCAAGGGAAATCGCTCATTCTTGAGGGCTGAGGGGGCTGCGAGGCGGTCTTCTGGGCTTTCACGGGACGCCACGGGGAGCCGAGAAAGCGCCCAGGGCTTGACGTCATTGGCCATCAGCTGACTGTGCTCAGGGCTCGGGCTCCACCGGCTGCAGCCGCAGTCGCGGTGGCAGAGGTGGCGGCCACCGCGGCTCCGCCACCTGCAGCCGGGCTCGGGACTGCGGCGACCACACTTGCCCTGCGGCCCCGGGACCCGGCGCTCCCGCTCGGCCGGGCGCGGGCGCGGAGCCGAGAGGGCGGGAAACCGGGGCTTGAGCGGGCAGCTGGAAATGTTTTCCCCTCGTCCTCCCCCTCTCCTCCTATTGTAAGCAGGGAGAAACTTGGTGTGCGCGGCACTCGGGGACGAGCCCTCCACTTCTCCGGATTGGTGTAGTAAAGGCTCTTGCTGGAAGCCGTCTCTACAATTGCGGCTTTTTGCTTTTAGCCCGATAGTTGGTTTCACCAAAAGATGCCCGGGTGGGGAGGACAGAAAGGAGACCCTCTATTTCGTCGCGCTGTGCTCTCGGAGTCCGTGGGCAGAGCGGCCTACGAGTCCTGGCTCTGCACCTGCCGAGGATCGGAGCCAGTGCCTAAAAAAGAATAGCGGAGGAACCGGCCCGCGCGGCCAGCTGGAGCGCTGGATACTCGCGCTGGGGGAGACAGGGGCGCCCGCGGTCGTCCTCACCCACGCCGGCCTGCGCGTGTTGCTGCCTCCAAGACCTGGGGCGTCCTGGCCAGATCAGGGTGCCAGCTCCCCGCCACCACCCCCACCCGGTTCCGGGGGCGTGGCTTGGCGTGGGGGCGGGTTTAAGTCGCCGCGGGTGTCTGACCGATCTGACAGGTCTCCAAATTCCTCCCCGCCGCCGGGTGCCCGCAGCGCGCTTCAGAGCGCCAGGGTGGCACGCGGCGCGTCCCTGGATCCGGTGGCGTCTCAGTCGACTTCCCCGCGGCTTCGGGCCTCCCTCCTCGTCCAGCCCTTACACCCACCGCACCCGCCAAGCTTCTGTTCTTAGGCTTAGGGATCCGCACCGGTAGCTTCTCGGCGATCTCAGAGCTGTTGGCTTCGGAGCCCTCCCCACTTTTTCCTGCCCCCGCCTCCCAGCTCCGGGCCAAATGGACTCCGAAGAGCGAAGTGAAGGGAATGGGAACTGTGGGCTCCGACCCCTCGGAAGCACAGCTGGAAAAGCTTACCTCGTCTTCTAACCACGACTGGGACCCTGCCGCTCTCCCCCTTCCCCGAGGGATGCGACGGGCCAGAGCCAGCGCCGCGCGGTCAGTCCTCGCGCAGGAAAAGGAGACAGCCAGAGATGAGCCGAGGAGGGAGCCTCAGCACACCCCCTGCTCCAAATTAACTGTTTGGTGACTTGTTAGCCCCGAGGCTACCACCTCTCCAACCCTTCCGCGGGGCACCCCACCACTTCCCCGTCCCCCACACCTCCCCCTTCTTTGCCCCCGCCCCCAGCTCCGCCCCGGCTCCCCATCCCGGCGCAATGGAGTTCTCCGAAGGGCTCTGCTCCAGCCACAGCGGCTAACTTCGCACCCGCCGCCGTCGCCGGTCACCCTCGGCCAGTCCTCCTGCAGGCGCCGAGTCGTGGGTGTCCCGAGCCCAGTGCCGCAGCCAGGACCCGCCCGGCGCGCAGCAGAAAGAAGCACGGCGCCCAGGCGCCTTTTGGAGAGCAAAGGCTGCGCCAAGACGCTGAGCCGAGGAGCGGCCGAGAAGCCTGAGCCCGAGAAGGGGGCTGCGTGGCTCAGAGCGCCGCGGCTTCTGCGGACACCGAACCACCGCCGCCGCGCACCCCAGCTGCGCGGTTTGGCTGGAGGGCGGCGTGGAAGGACGCAGGGGTCTGCGGCAATCTTCCAGACGCCCTTTGCCCCGGGGCGCACTATGACCTGACGCGCGGGGCCTCCTGTCCAGGGCTCGCGCGACCCGGCGGCCGGGAATACCAGGGCTCGCCGCACAGCTCCCGCCAGACCGCCGTGGGGTCTTTGGGACCCCTCCCCCAGCTGCCTCCTCCTGGCTGTGCGCCTCCCCGCCTGCGGCCCGGCGCCATGGAGCTCTCCGATGTGCGCTGCCTGAGCGGCAGCGAGGAACTCTACACTATCCACCCGACGCCCCCGGCCGGCGACGGCGGGAGCGGCTCGCGGCCGCAGCGGCTGTTGTGGCAGACGGCGGTGAGGCACATCACCGAGCAGCGCTTCATTCATGGGCATCGGGGCAGCGGCGGCGGCAGCGGGAGCAGAGGCTCCGGCAAAGCCTCGGACCCTAGAGGCGGCGGCCCCGACCATCACGCGGCGCAGCTGTCCGGCGACTCGGCGCTGCCCCTTTACTCGCTGGGCCCCGGGGAGAGAGCGCACAGCACTGGTGGAACCAAAGTCTTCCCGGAACGCAGCGGGAGCGGCAGCGGCAGCGGGAGCGGGGGCGGTGGCGATCTGGGCTTCCTGCACCTCGACTGCGCCCCAAGCAACTCGGATTTCTTCCTCAGTGGGGGCTATAGCTACCGAGGGGTCATTTTCCCCACTCTGCGCAACTCCTTCAAGTCCCGGGATCTAGAGCGCCTCTACCAGCGCTATTTCCTGGGCCAGAGGCGCAAATCCGAGGTGGTGATGAACGTACTGGACGTGCTGACCAAACTCACCCTCTTGGTCCTCCACTTGAGCCTGGCCTCGGCCCCGATGGACCCGCTCAAGGGCATCCTCCTGGGCTTCTTCACTGGCATCGAGGTGGTGATCTGCGCCCTGGTGGTGGTCAGGAAGGACACCACCTCACACACGTACCTGCAGTACAGCGGCGTAGTCACTTGGGTGGCCATGACCACCCAGATCTTGGCAGCAGGCCTTGGCTACGGGCTTCTGGGTGATGGCATCGGCTACGTTCTCTTCACGCTGTTTGCCACCTACAGCATGCTGCCGCTGCCGCTAACCTGGGCCATCCTGGCCGGCCTGGGCACCTCGCTGCTGCAGGTGGTCCTGCAAGTGGTCATCCCCCGGCTAGCGGTCATTTCCATCAACCAGGTAACTCCTGCCTGCCTTGCTCTTCAACCCCCACCCCCGCACTCCCCTGGGTTATTTAGAAATAGCTTTCAGAAAGGCCGGCTTGCCTTGCTTATTTTGAGGCCCCTCCCCCAGCCTGGCACAGTGCCTCGCACTTGGGAGGTCCTGGGTGTCGGTGGGATGGTATTTCGCTCATCTTAGAGGAGTTGGAACTAAATGACCTCTAAAGTTTCTTCCAGCCCAGCCCTTCTCTTCGGCTTCTATGAGTAATTCTTCTCTGACATCAGCTAAGAAACAGCCTCCTTTCTGCTCTGCACATGTCCCCCAGGCTCTGTAGTCTCTGGAGCAGGAAACAGAAGGGGAGGAGAAGCACCCTGATTTAGAAGGTGACCCACTCCTTAACAGCTTTTACTCACAAGAGTCGCAGCAGGGTGTTGTAAGGGACTCTGGGATTCAGAGTTGGGTTTCTGGGTATCTCTGTGCCACAAACCCTCAATTCTAGAATTTAATAGCATTTTTTGAACACATAGCAACTGCTGGTGGGGACCCTACATATGTTATATCGTCCAGTCTCTCAGTACCATGATACGTATTTTACTTGGGAATTCTTCACTGCTTTGGAGTTCTAAGAGGGTATCTTCTCTTATAGGATCCGAACCCAGTGCTTTGCATAGATCAGCCTCATCTGGGACTGGTAGGGTAGGCAGGGAAGTGTCTTTGGCAAAGAATGCAAGTTTTGCTTAATTGATAAAGGATATTTTGATGTAGATGGTCTGAAATATTTAGGTGGAACCTGACCCTCCGTCGCTTTTCTTCCTTTCTTCCTGTCTTTCTTGTTAAATGTGGATGTATTTCTGGGAACAGAGTTCCCATTGTCTGTGAAGGAGAAGGTAGATGGTGATTTTATTGTTGAAATTCATTAAAATCAATAGATAATTAATGGTCTGGCACTTTGTTTGCCAAATGCTTGATAAATAGCAGAAGACTGAATTGGGGGGCTTCTCCATAAAAATGAGGGAAACATGTCAGCTGAAGTGTTTCCACATAGGAGGCTGACACAGGTGCTTGGACAGGGGCCTGCTTTATATGTTCCTGCTCTAGGCTCAGCCTCTGCCTTTGGCTCTATGGGAAGCTTAAAAACGCCTCATCCTTGTGTTCGGGTTTGAATATATCGTTGAATAACCAGGTACAACACCTCTGAAAATGGCTTGTGGTTTCTGGAACGCAGACACCTATAGAACGCTTTACCCATCATTGACCTTCTGGGTTTCTAGTGGATTTGGGATTCTCTTCTCTGATGGCTCTGTATCCATTTGCTCAGGTTACTTATCTGGTTGGCTGCTTTTACAGTGCTTTTTGAAGTCTCCCTGGGTAGAGCAGAGTATTACAAAGTACATGGCTGTGATCATCAGACATGAAATGGAGAGATGAGAGCCTCTGTGAGTAAGGGCTGACCAGCTGAACTTGTCCTTATAAGACAGTAATGAATGTTTTCTCGAAATCACTGTGAACCTTTAATACCCACGTCTGATAAAGTCTCAATTTGGGATTGTGTAAAATATGTCTTCAGAACCATGTTTCTCAGTCTTCACACTTGGATCTGAACCCCACTAGCCTCTGAAAGTCTCAATTTCTTCCAAGCCCTCCTCCTTTTTTGCATTTTCTTTATTACGTATCTCCACATCATCAGACTCTCCTTCCCCATCTTGCTCCTCTTCCCTTCCCCTTCCTCCTCTTTTTCCTTCTTCTCCTCCTCTTTTCTTATCTTTTTTCACTATGAGTCGTTTTCACGATCTATCACAGGTATCTGCTCATTTGCAGAAAATCCCATTGATCATAACCCACTGCTTTCCATGCAGGAGCCTTCCTTAGTACACATTTCTGAGAGACTTCATCAAGTAAGTTTGGAATAGTATTTAGAATAACAACATCCCAAGTGGCAAATGATGAATATTTTCAAAGTTCTAAGTATAGAGACGCTTTGCTTGCCAAATGAATCCAGAAAGTAAATTTTGGCTTCATTTTTGTTTTATGCTCTACTCAAATACTACCAGATGGGAGAAGATTAAAAATAACCCCAAAATGTCTTCCCACTTCCATCCCATGATAAACAGTCCTTCGCTTGAAAACCAAGGTCCAGGTACATGCAAACCAAGCTCATTTGACTTTCTGTTTGGGTAGGAATTGTAGATGAACTACACTTTCCCAGTGGAATCAGCTTTTACCAGACTCCTGGGGAACAGCCAGAGCGCTCTCCTCTCACTTCAGGTGCTGAAAAGACCTTTGTGGCTTTGGTTACCAAATGTTTTCCTTTGGCGCCCTCTAGAGGTCCAAGCTTCTTTCTTAGATCTTGCAGGTGGGTGAAGTGGAGCATTACTCGCTTTTAAAATCATCTTTGATTTTTGAACAGGTACTGTTTAGTTTCCTTGTTTGGGAACATATAAGGCATGCCCTGCTAATGACCTCTTATAGCAATTAGAATAACATCCTAACTCTTTCCCATGGTCACCCGGTCCCCTTACAAACTGGTTGCTCCTTCTATGTTTCCTTCTGTTCTCCTCCTTAGGCTCCAAATACACAGTCCCTTTTCCTGCTTTCAGAGATCCTGAGCTCTTTCCCCACTTCTTAGCCTTTGTGCTTGCTGCCTAGAATGATTTTTCCCAGGTCTTCCCATTATCCTGGACGCAGTTCACACACCACTCCCTAGTGCTTGGCTTGTTCTGTTTTCTCCTGAGCACGTACACTATCTGAAATTATTTTATTTGTTTATATTTGCTCTGTTTCTTCCCCCAGCCCACCCCCACAGAAACATAAACATCACCTAAGGGCATAGACGTCTATGTGTTTACCAATTTATGCTCATCACCTAGAAAAATGCCAGGCACCAAGCATACAGATACTGAATGAACAAGACTGTTCAATGCAAAGGTAATATAAAATATCCAAGCCCCCTCTATTGTGCTAGTGAAAGTTTTCTGCGTACACAATCACATGTAAGTTATATGTGTGTAAAGCAGTCTTTTACACATAAACGCCCTTGGCAAAACCAAGGCACAGTGATAATCCTTCACATATGCACAATGCTTTACATGTAACTAAGGGCCTTTACATACATTATCACATCTAATGATGACAAACAGATGGTATCCTTCATTTTCATTTCATAGAAGAAAGAACAAATTCCTGGGAACTTTAAAGAGACATCCCAAAGATGGTGAGCCCAAGTGGTGAGAACACGATTCAAATCCTAGCTCCAAAGTCATTCATTCTTAAGAAACCTTCTGAGAGTTTCTTTCCAAACCCACATTTGAATTCACTCAAGACTGAGGGGTACCTGTTTCACTACTCAGGAGGACAATACCCAGTATAGCACACGAATGAACGTTTAATGAAAAAAGCCAAAGGGAAATCATGAGAGAAAAATGTCTGAATTTCTAGGCATAAGCTCTTTGTGGCTAGCTCATCATCTTGCTCATTGGATACAAACTTGTCAAGTGAAGGCCATTGACACTGGAATATCATCTTTCTCCACATTTATCTTGATTCCCATTAGAGGATGGCTCACATTTAACTTAGCATTTTCAAGAAGCAAGAAGCTACATGAGAGTGTAAAGTCCACACACCTCAGCAACTGTTCCACTTACTGAAAATGCCATTTTCAAAAGTAACAAATGAGTCAATGATTGCCTTCCCTTAACCCAAGCTACGAGAATCTGTTTCTGTTCTTTTCCTCCCGGCGGAAATTACATCTGTGGCTTGACAGGGTAACAACCAAGCTGCAAATCTCGGCAGATGCCCTATATGAAGAGACAGGGCCCTGTGTTCATTTAGATCATCATGTGCTTTCCACCGTGGACACAAGATGCAACTGGGAAAGGGCCACCCAGGAGGCCCTTGCCATCAGCACGGAGATAGCTTATGTTTTCTCCCCTCGGTGAACCGTTAGACCTAAATCATGGATTTCCCACCCAAACTAAGAGGTATTGTCCTCTTAGTGGCAGATATATAGGATCACCTGTGTATGTTCTAGGTCCCAGGTGCCACTGGGATGCAGAGGAACCTTCAGAAGGTTCAGAGCTCACCTTAAAGGGTTGCTTTTCTATTCACCCTGACAAAGCTCAGTTACAGGTAACACAAGGGCTGCAGCCATTCCTTCCTCAGGATGCCTCATCCACCTCAAGTTAAACCTGCTTCATGTGCATCATTTAGTTCATCAGTAGTACTGCCTTTGTCCAGAGACAACAGATTTTTTTCTCCATATCTTAAATTGTTTATCCTGCCAGGTCTCTTTGTCCATCTAAACCTTGATTACAAAATCAGGTAATATGTATGAATAAAATATTAATAATAAGGGTCTTATTTGCTAGGTTCTTAAATGGTTCAGGTAAATCCTAAGGACTGTTGCTGTAATTCGCATTTTACTTGGTTTTAATTGCTGGTGATGGTGATGTGAGCTACTTCACATTTGAAACTCATCTTGTTCTCATTCTTCAGCTCATTAGTGATAAAATGGTGAAGATCATTTAGTTATTGGAAAACTGAGAGGCAGCAATATTTAACCAGAAAGATCCCTGCATTATGTTTCCTCTTGGGGATTCTGAAATGTTAAAGCTTGTGGCTAATTAGTCTTCTGTACCTCTTGGCGAGGCAGATAAGCAGAAGTGTCAGAGTGAAGGTGATTTCTCCAAGATAACTCTAGGAGCAAAATCAGCCAGGTATGCAAATCCAGGTTAGTTAGTGCTCAAGGTCATGGTGTCAGATCTGAATTTCCATGCAGCATTTTTTTACTGTCTTACACAAATCCCATCAAACAATAGAAGCTAGAGCCAGAAAAAAAAATGCTAATTAAATCATGATCATTAAACTTGACTAATGAGGGACTTTTAGTTTACATTTGGCCTTTAAAAACTCCTTTGGGAGAAAATGCATTGTTTGTAGGGGGTAAGATAGTGGTTAATGGTATGAGCAGGTTTGGGTCAGGTGAGAAGCAGCTTTTGTGCATGTTTTAGAATGCATTCCTG